AAATAATGTTACCACGCGTTTCTTGAGGTAATATATGAAACGACCGATGTCATTTCTGTCCGAAAACGCTAACAACAATATAAAAGTATGAAATAAAAAGAATCTAAAATGTAGAAAAAGTAACACTTTCTTTTCTTTTTTCGCCGAAAGTAACTTAATGCAAGGTATGCTATGGAACATTATTTCGTTTAAAGGTAATTCTTAAGGAGATACAGCGTTGTAATTCAAAAAAGACTGTATTATTAGATAAATATATCGACATGTTAAAAAGAATAAAGTCAGAGGCACCGGACTGTAACGTTTTATATTAGTCATATTTTTGTGCTTTGGAGAAGGAAGTAATTACAGCCATTTTATAAACTTGACACAAACTTTTTAAAACAATGTATACATTATGATATATGTTGGTATAATTGGGGGCATTATACATCAATTACACCACAATGCCGACCAATTATCCCATGATAATCACAATAATCCGTTGAATTGGGACCAGGAAGTGATTTCCAAGACAATATCAATACATATATGTATTTTGAAATTTACCCATAATTTTACATGTACATCTTTATCATGATACGGCACCTGAGAAGGCATGGATCCAGTACGCCTGAATGAATAAAAATATAATGAACTTACAGCTGAAAGAACGTTACACAAAATATAACTTAACCTTTATATGAAATGCATATTGGTGTAATTTTACATCTATTTTTATATCACGTATAAAATAACTCTACTTTCATTTTCCTCCTAGTATATAAATCGTTACTTATCTCTAAGGCTTATCTGGTGTCTCTGTCTGTCAATCGATTTTCGGGCCTTATAATATGCCTATCCACAAAGAAAGCTATATATATAATACATATTTACTTGGAACATGACGTGACTTAAATTCAAGTTTCAACATGCAGGCATATATACATATGTAATATTAAATTAACAGTAGTTTCGTTTATTCCTAAGGAAATATTTCATATGGTTACTATGTTGTTGAAAACTATATACCTTACTGTTGGATAGAATTAACAATTGAAACAATAAAAAAGACATTATAGTTTATGTTTTACATACCTCAATATTTTCAAATCTTATGTCATTCTCAAATATTATTCTCCAGAAATTGGAATGCCTAATTCTAAGAATTGTTGTTTTTTTTCTATATTAACAATATCCGGGAATCCCTATTGGTATTAGTAATAGATACTTACAGTAATAAGATCACTTGCGCATTCATTTAAGGGTCAAATAACTACAGAAAAATGTGTCAAAAGAACCGAAAATAACATTATCTTCAAGTGATTCTGGTAGCTTAAATTAATCGATTCAGCCAAATAAATTCATTAGCTGAACCTGGATGACGTACATCTCTACTTCAATTGATATATGAAAATCAAACTATTACATCATTTTGCATTTATCCTTTAAAAACTTAAAATATCAAATATTTGTTACAAAATATCAAATATTTATTATAAAATATTAAATATTTATCATAAAATATTACATATATATCATAAAATATTAAATATTTATCAAAAAATTTCAAATATTTATTATAAAATATCAAATATTTGTTATAAAATATCAAATATTTATCATAAAATATTAAATATTTATCATAAAATATTAAATATTTATCATAAAATATTAAATATTTATCATAAAATATCAAATATTTATCATAAAATATCAAATATTTATCATAAAATATTAAATATTTATCATAAAATATCAAATATTTATTATAAAATATCAAATATATTTTTTGTTCAAAGTATCAAATATGTATTT